GTGAACTGCCTGAGATCAAAAGAGTGTTTTCACAATAAAAGTCTTTCATGTCAGCAGAATTTTTTTTTCAAAAAACTGGATAAAGCGTATTGTTACAAAAATGAAAACTTATAGGTAAAACCCTTAAAAAGAGTCAGTTGATCTTGGCCTAAGTGAGAGTGCTGTTTCTCCATCTGGATTGGTACACATGTGGGACCACCACCACCCCTAACCAGAAAGGGGTAGCCAAAATTTTCACCCCAGGAAATACTGTAAAGAAGCTCAGATGTCTTTTGAGATTTGTGTAGACAGCTTTGTTTAAGAAAGTCAAGCTCTTCTGACAGAGTCTTCATTAACATTCCATTGCATCTATCCAATAAGAAAAATCAAGATTGAAGAAAACAAAATCTACTCAACCCACATACCTGTAATATTTACCAAGAAACCCAAAAGTTCTGTCTTCCTTGGTTCAAAAGATCCCCAAATGAAAGACTTAAAACTTTTCAGGGTGACACAAGTATTCTGGATACAGGTTAATCCAACCTTCTGACTTGACACTTCAAGATGACTCATTAATATTTGCATTGAGCTTTTATGAGGAGGAAAAGGTAACTTAAAATTGCTACATTCCTCTCAGGACAAAAGCATGAATCAGCGCCTCAACTTTGAGTTGCTTTTGGTGGGCTGCACTGGGAAGCCTGCTCTAGGGTCTTCACATTGTTTTTGTATTTTTGTTCCTTTTCTCAGACACAAAGGAAGCAGATCAAGGAGACTGAAGGTGGTCCTTATGACTGTGTATCTCTGAGGACATCTGTTTTTAATTTTTATCTCTAGTGGAACATGTTCAGAGTATGTAATAATTACATTCACATCTTAATTCTTTTTTTCATCCTCTTTGCCCCTTCCTTCACTCCTTCCTTTGGTCCCATCCCTTTTCCAAAAGTTCTATCTCCTTATTTCTCATTATCTCTCTTGTATTTTGCTCTTTATTTATGGCACCTTAAAAGAAAGATAACTCAAACATTTGAGTTTCAAATAGCTGTGAACTGCTTAACAAAACTGGCAGAGCCCAGCTTGATGTCATCACTTCCTGTACAGGGAAGGAGAGGGAGTAAACAGTGGGTGTCCATGCCCTGGTCAGATGGAGAGAAGGGAAGAAATGAAAATGGTTTCCATTCACTTTCATTTTTCTATCAGATGAATAGTTGCCAGACTCCTGGAAGCACGTGGCTTGGTTCTTTCTCTTAACTTACCAAGTTCTTCAAGAAACTGACTGCCTTGGGGTGACTGATAACACAACCGAGTCCACTGGCTTAATGTCAGTGCAGCAAGCGGTCTTGCTATCGGGTTGCATCACGGTGGAAACCAGCACAAGGCCTTGTCAAGGTAAGCAGCACCTATCCACGAGGATCTGTGCTTCATGTTCTCATCTGATTCATTTCAAAATCGAAGTGCAAACAGAAATCACTGTCTCAAGTAAACAAGAGTCTGATTTCTCTTTCAATTTTGAAGATGTTTTCCCAAAACAAATAATAAAAGAAAACAGAATTAGGTGTTATGTTAAATTCAAGCTTTGGCCATGGCTTGTAGAACAACAACTCCCTAAATCCTATCTTGGAGGAAGTAAAAACATTTCTATTTCCTCTTGCTTTCCTCCTACTTTAGATATCATTTAAAGAATACTTATCACAGCCATGTGGAGAACCACAAAAATCATTAAACACTGGTGTTCTGAATTGGTTTGAGTACTTTCGGGAATCTCCTGCTTTGACCACACGGCGCTCTATTTTCTGGGATACTGAGCTGAAAGCAACCAGTATACAGAATTGAAAAATTGCCTTGCAGCAAAGTTGGTCCCAGGACATGAAAACTAGCTCCCTAGGTGCTGTGAGAACAAAGGAGGCAGGTGGCACAGGATGCGATGTACTGGGGAGACTTACAGAAGTCTGATACCGGATGACAGTGAGACCAAGCACATCCCTGCAAGATGGTCATAAGGAGGGAAGTATCTCTTGGTTAGGAAAGTAGTGACTTCATTCAAGTCATAATGTATCAGGTTTATCTTAAACTTATATCAAAAAGTCAGGCAAGCGCTGGCCAAATAGCTCAGCAGATTAAAGCGCCTGCTTAGGCAGATACATACAAAGGCCACAAGTTTGATTCCCTGGCCTGCCATGCCAGCTCTGCCACCGGGGCACACTGAGACAGTGATCGAGACTGGGTGTAGTGGTGCATGCCTGTAATCCCAGCACTTGGGAGGCTTTAAACAGGAGGATCACTATGAGTCTGATCTACACAGTGAGACCCTGTACACCCTTAACACTCTATCCTAAATATAAAAAGAAAAGTCAGGCACACTCTCTGTGCCAGGGTATTGTTGTACAGCTCCACACACTACTTGAATGGCTTGACCTCTTTTCGGGATGCAGAAAACTATACAGGGTTACTTTGGGATTGTCTTCATGGTGACCACTCAGGATGACATGGCAGGAAGACTCCTCACGTACTGTAAAGTCCCTTCTCATAGTAGAGTATACACTTGCTTGATTTATGTTGAGTTATACTCAGGTTTCCTTGTCATATTTGTATAGTTTCATTTTTGTTTACATTTAGAGCTCTGATTCTTAGTTTACTCCTATGTATGGTGTGAGGAATGTGTTAGGGTTTGTGTCTAGTTGTCTGCCCAAAGCCTCATGCAGTCATGGATGGGGTGGCTTCTGGAGTTTAGGGTTGATTATTGCAGGTATTAGTGTTTCTCCCTGGCCCTAGGGGTGGGGGTGTAATCTGCATTACAATGTAGGGAGGGGAGAGAGGCTCTCTAGCTGCCAAAGCTGCTGCTCCTGCTCTTTTGCTCTCTGCTCTTTGCCATCGCCATGAATGGTTGCTCTCTGCCTGGGAGCCAGCTGAGTATGGACTGAAACCTCCACTAATTGTGAGCTAAATAAACCTTTCCTTCCTTCATTTTGGATGTTGGGCATTTTGTCCCAGCAATGTGAGAAGAGTAACTGAGACAGAACGCTTCTAATTAGACCTTTTCCCCCAGATAGCTGCCCAATTGCCTTAGTATCAATGTCAAGTATTTGAAAGTCTTTGAAAGTCTAAATATGAAGTCTCCACTTGTTCTTGGGTCTATTCCAGATTTTTCTAATCTATTTTTGTCAGTCTGCCTATTTGTGTGCCAGTACTACAGTTTCAATTATGAAATGTGTGTCATGGGCGTTAGTATTGTCTTAGTAGTGCCTTATTCTTTATCCTTTCCTCACCCTTTTCTTTTCAGTGTTTCCCCTGAAACACTGTGTGTATTCTCCTGTTCTTATTCTTGTGTGCTTATTTTTCTGTGTAGATTTTGATATCATCTTGTCTTTCTATAAGTAAATATTTATTGATATTTTTGCTGGAATATCAGCAAATTAATAAATTAGCTTGGAAAAAAACCAATGTGTCGATAATGTAGAAGAACCTTATTCCAGAAGGGATATCTTTCCATCTGTTCAAGTCTAATTTTTTTTCCATTCATGTATTTGATACAGGGACTCACTATGCAGCTCAGACTCGTAGCGATCCTCCTGTTTTCAGCCTCTCCAGTGCTGGGATTACAGGCATGCACCACTGTGCCTGGACTGGGTTGCCAGCTCAGTGTGCCCCAGGAGGGTGGGGCTGGCGAGGCATGTGGGACCGAGGATCGGACCCTGGTCCCTGCACTTGCCTAAGCAGGCGCTTAATCTGCAGAGCTCTCTCACCAGCCCTTAAGTCTAATTTTTAAAGACTGTTTTATAATTTTATCAATAGATATGTTGCGCAGTTCTTGTTAAGTTTACTCCTATGTATATAACGTATTCAATGGGGTGGGGCTAGGGGAAAGGAAATTTATGAACTCACATTGTTTGCCTATAAAAATGAGCAAAGCAACCATCAGAAGACTTCCCACCCTAAACCAATCAGCCTCAATCATGGTCAGACAGATAAAAGTGATACTACCTGCTGTGAGAGGTGGGCCCTGCTGGGTTAGGGCAGGACAGTGGCCTGAAGAGGGTAGCCAGGTCTCTTCCCCAGGGTTGGAGGCAGCTGATTTGTCTTTGTATTAAGAAAGGAGAAGCAATGGACGTCAAACTGTAGTCCACACACCTACCAAGTTCTCCACTCAGTTCCCTGGGTGAGCCTGCACCTTCCCACACTAGGCTTCAGGTCCAGGGTCAGCTTCTCTGGTGGGAGTGCAGCCAACCCTCGCAGGCATCCTTACAATAAGGAAAAACACGGAGCTTTCTCTTCTGAATTCTTGGTGACCTTCCTGGGGTTCTGTCTCAGGCCAGCCTCACCCAAAGCCTTGTTCCCCTCATTGCACAGACACCTGGGCTCCCAACAGGTCCAAGATGCCATGCTCTATCTGCACCCCTCAGGGAACAGGGTAAGTTTGTTGGTTGGAGGGGCCATCCGTCCTGTGGTGGTCCTAGGTGGTAGGGACTGAGTATTGGTGTCCCCACAAATTCCTCAGAAGCCGATATCCAAGGTGATGTCCTGAGGAGGTGAGGCCTTTCAGAGGTGTTTGAGTCATGAGGGTGGGACTCTTATGAATGGGATTAGTGCCCTTAAGCAAGAGATCCCCCCTGAGTTGTCTCTGTCTCTCCCCCCCCATCGGGTAGCTTGGTGAGAAGATAACATCTATCAATCAGGAAGGAGCCCTACCCAGAACTGCACCATGATCTTAGACTTTCCGCCTCTGGATCTGCACTAAGTGAATTGCTGTGGTTTATAAGCCACCCAGCCTATGGGACTTCGTTACAGCAACCCAGATGAGTGAAGACACCACATGTGGGGTTTGTGACTATGTCACCTCTGTATCCTGATGCCTCCCCTTTCAACCACACTTATCCTGAGATTTGCAACAATTATTATTTTTTTATTACAAGATACATAAAAGTAGGGAGATTTCTGGTACGGTGGAGGAAGTCCTGGACGAGACAGGAGGAGGGCTCTCTCCCAAGGCCAGGTGGTGCAGTGGCTCCTTGGGGGCCGCGCTCTCAGCTCGGGTCCAGCACCTTGCCCAGGAGCAGGCTGCTCCATGTGAAATTATCAAAGATCAGGACAAGGAAGGGGTGGTCGAAAGCGAAGGTGACTGGCTCAGACTCTTGCTTTACAGTGACCCCAGGATCTGCTGCTTCCTTTCTACCTCTCTCGTCCATGTGCAGCATGGCCTTGTGGACAACCTGTGGGCAGCACACGGAGGGGGGAGGTGGTGAGTCCCTGCCACATGCCAGGCACTGTTTGCATCTCATCCTGTGGTCTCCTTGCACCTCCACTTCATGGAACCGAGGCTGAGCCTTGGTTACCTGCTGGCTCCTTGCCTGAGCAGCAGCCCTGGGACAAGAGTCTGGGTCGCTCTACCTCCAGCTCCTGTCCGAGCCACGTTTCCCCCTTGCACCTGTAACTTGTTGAACCTGGCTTCAATGCCATCTTGGGTGTGCCTTGCTGTGTCCCACCCTGGGTGGAGGAGACCTTGCTCTCTACCCACTCTGCAGGAGGAGCACCTCATTCAACATGAGCAAAGTGCTTGTGCCTGCCCTGGAATGGAAAGCCAGGGCAGAAGCTAAAAGTGCACATTTTTGTGGCTATGGTCCTTGAAAAGGAATTCTGAACGGGGCAAGGTGTTGGCTTCCTTGTAGGGAAAGCCTTTGATAGATCATAATCCGGCTAATTAATAGGTGGCATTTGGTGTGCTCCTAATACCCCGTAGGGTAGCAACTTCCACCAGCTCTATTTTATAGCCAGGGCTCCAGGTTCTGAATGGCTGTGACAGCACCATGACTGGAATAAGTGGGGCTGAGATGGACACCCTGCACTGGGTCTTGAGAAAAGGGTTTGAGTCAACAGACCCAAGGGCAGCTGTCAGACTGACTTACAAGTTCTGAGACTATGGAGTCAGAGTCAGGGAGAGACTGGGATGCCACACACCTTAAAAGGGGTGGCTGACTTGCCTGAGTCCACTTGCACAACGTGCATCGACCAAGTAGGAAGCATCAGGGCTTCAAAGCCCTCCTGTTTGGGGGGTGGAGCCACATCCGAGTGACGGAGGCACCCCTAGAACCTGGTGCAGCGAAGGACACACAGTAGGGGTTCAATACAAAGTTTTATTTTTGTTCTTTCTTTCTTTTTGGCCTGCTCAGGATGCCTTAAGAGCAGGTCTGGTAAGGCATGAGGACCTGGGGATCGAACTACAGAATTCTGAGCCTAACTGCTTTGCTTAAGCAGGCTCTTAAACAACTGAGCTAATGGGCAGGCCCCATCAATACAAAGTTTTCTGACCAAATGAACATCGAGCTGCAGGACAATGAGTAACTGAGTGGAAGCGTGATGGGACCCCTGCCAACAGTTGTACATTTCATGTTTCTTTTTGCCGAGCTGTTCACTGAGCCACCATGATAGCTTCGTGCTGCCCAGCAGCCCCTGTGTGGCCTGGCAGGATGGCTAGATGCTCAGGCTGCGGCCCGCCCTTGTCACCAGCTCCTTGTTTGATCTTAGAGATGTCATGTGTTAAGGTGAGGTTCCGCTTCCCTCACCGGAGGTTGAGGGTACTGCACCCAGACCTGAGTTCTCAGGCTGAGAATGAGTGGTATTTACTATTACTTTTATTGTGGATTTTGGAGGAAGAAAAGTATAAAAATCTGGGTTCTTTTTTTACCTTTGATAACTTCAGCGGGGCCTCCTGGGATATGGCTGAGAAATTGGCCTGGCTGGAGAACAAGTCCGCAAAGCCCATTTCTGTCAACACATCCCTGAGGTCATAGGCACTCGAGACGGAGAGCTTCGGTAGGTACAGGTCCACTGGGCTGCTCGGACGAAGCAGAGAGGTTAGAGGGCCAGCGGGGCCTACTGGGAGGGAGCTGCAGGCCTCCCCTGCCAGACTCCATTTCTCCGGCTTCAGCCTCCCAGTGTGACCTGCTCCTGGGGCAGGAGAAAATCGGGCAAGAGCAGAACCTGCCCCCTCGGTCATGAGGTGGAGGCGGATCTTCCTGGGCCTCTAAGCTTCACTCCTCTATTGGGTGGTTCCTTTGGGCTGATCCCACCTGTGAGACAGCTCGGCCAGTGGGCATCGAAGACAGTGACCCCTAAAGTCCTGAGCGAGGCAAGGTGGCACCCCTGTAATCCAAGCACTCTGGGAGGCTGAGGCAGGAGGAGCGCAAGTTTGAGATCGGTTTGGGCAGGTTAGTGACCCTGTCTCAGGTTTAAAAAAAATTTTTTTTAAAGGGTGATGGTGGCAGATGTAGGAAGTTCAGTGAGGAGGTTCTAGGTTCAGCCCCCAGGACCACACACACACACACACACACACACACACAACTTCTGGTTCCCAGATAGTGGAACTAGAAACAGAGGCTAGGAGGGACCGCTGGGGTTGGTGGCCTCACCACACCTCTGAGGCTGGGTGACTTTAGCTAAGTCCTGGCGTCCCGGGTGCCAGAGCGCTACAATTCTAAAGAATTTGACTCTGCTGGCGTGAAAGAAGAGGCCTGTGACCCTGCCCAAGTGCCCGAGTGAGTGCCTGTTTTACCATCTGGAGGCCCTGGGTTCTCTTCTAAGACGTTTCCACGCCTCTGCTTGCCAGAGGGATGAGGATGCCCGCAAGCCCAAGGCTGAGGCTCTAGCGCAGTCATGCTGGGGGGCGGTGGTGGTGGTGGAGGCGCACGCAGTAAACCTTTGGAATCAACGCCTTCATTTTCCAGATTCACAGGCTAAAACTCGGGCCCTGGGGATCCCCGAAGGCCCTCGTGGGCGGCAGGATGAGCACTCCCAGCTTGCTGTGTGCCTAGCCGCTCTACAGGGTGAAGCACGGGGCCGCGGGGTGTCGGTTGCTGACCGACGTCCTCCACACTGGAGTATTTTTATGAAGAGTTTTGGGAGTGGGGGGCGGATTATCCATCGCCTTATTTTCCGTAAGGTCCAAAATTTGTTTGAATCATGGTTCATTATCGCCACCTAGTGGCCCTACTCTTAGACCGCAGGTTCGTTTTTTGTAGGGGTGTGTGTGTGTGTGTGTGTGTGTGTGTGTGCGTGCGTGTGCGTGTGTGTGTGTGTGGGGGGTGTGTGCTGGGAACAAGGAAGGTTTAGGAAGCCCAGAGGGGTGTCGGGAGTTTGAGGCCTGAGAATCGCAAATTTGCGCCCTGCCTGGGCTAGTGACTTAGTGAGCCTCTGAACAAAGGAACGAAAAAACATCCCTAACGTCGCCGAGACACAGGCTCACCCCTTCCCCGTGGGTGCCTGTGCACACATTTTTCTGCTACTTCGCACAGCCCTAGGGGGTCAGGCTGCCCACACCACGCTTGCCTGCAGGAGGGAGGTGGGAACTCCCAGGCTCCCCCCACCCCCACCCTCACTCAGCACTGGAGGAATCTTTGCAGCGGTCCCCATCCCCCAGCACTGAACAGCTTGCCTGGACAGTGTCATTCAGAATAAAAACAGCCCCGAACCATAAAGCTCAAAATCCATCTATGAGGCAGGAGGATCTTTGCGAGTTTGAGGCCAGCCTGGGCTACAAAAAGAGCTCAAGGCCAGCCAGAACTACATAGTGAGACCCTGTCTCAAAGAGACAAACAAAACAAAACAAAACAATCCATGCAATGAAATAGAAAGGTCTTTTCTAGATTTTCTGCGGAAAGAGGTTTTTGGGGGCTAAAATTTAAAAGCTTACTCATAAAAACAAAATTATCCCTAATGGTGATAGTTTGATACACGTATGCATTGTGTAATGCTTAAATCAGGGTAAACATCTCATTTAAATACCTGTTTTCTGCGAAGCGTACCATTTCTTCATGGTAAGAATGTTGCGGATCCTTTCACCTAGCAGGCTGGAATTCACAGCACAGGCAGTACTGTCAGATCTGCACAGGACACCTTGAGCTTCTTGCTTGGGACCCCTGCCCACTGGCTGAACTCGTGTCGGGCCGAGCCTCTGCATAATGACAGAGGCTCTGCGCGCCTGTGCGCCTGAGCAGTGCACGCTCCACCTTGAGCCTTTCTACTTCCGCTAATTTCCCGGAAACTGTTTCTTGCTCCGTAGTGCCCTGCTCCGAGCCTCTATTTCCGCATTCAGTCTTCTGTCCCTGGCCTGGCCCCGCCCTGGCGCAGAGCACAGCAGGGCCTCCTGTGTTTGAACATCCAGTGAGCGGATGAAATGTGCTGGGCCCACGGGCTCTCCCGAGCCATTGCACGCCTGCCACATGGCCTCTGTGGGAGTCTGCACTACCTGACCTGCCCGCTGCTTCTGTGTGGGCTGGCATTTTCTGATTCTCCTGCTCTGAATCAGAACCCCCCAGTGTGTAGACACCACTCTGGAGAAGAGGCCAGGAGCAGGGCTGGCCACGTCTGCTGGGAACTTCAGTCGCTCTCTGTTCTGGAGCTCATGAGCATATGAGTTGTTCCTTCCTTTGTTCCACTGCTGTCACTAACTGGAATCTTCAGCTGACCTCGCTCGAATGCCAGCCCTGTACAGGCTGCAAGCTGCAGACACAGAGCCCCTTGGGTGGTTCTCCTGACTCCCAACCCGGAGCTTGTACTCCTTGTTCTCTTTCTAGACCTATTTATCAGCGACTCATGCCCTCACTTTCTAACTTGTTTTCTGGTTGGTTGCTTGAGGAAGAGTTGGATCCCTTGAGCGACTTAAGCTACAGCAGTCATTTGCATTGTGCTTTAGTCTTCCAGGAATCTGTAGTGTTGGTTTTGTGAGCAAGACAACAAAATGGAAAAGTAGGAGGACCTGCTCGGTTGGTAAGGTCACTGTAGGACACTGAAGCAAAAATTTGATAATATAGAGGGGACTATGAAACTCACAGGAACAGGGGATCTCACTGCTGAGCAATCAACAAAGAAATAAGTATGAGCTCCAGGTCCGAGAGCCTCAGAGGCTATGGGGTCCCCACAGAGAAGGAGGCAGTGAGCCCTGACAGTGGCGGAAGGAGGCGTAGGTGCCCACAGTGACACTACACTGCAGAAGCCAACACGCAGGGCTGGCGGGAGGGCTTACCGCTGGGTCAGGGAATCCGACCAGCGCTGGATGGTGTCCCGGCTTAGCCTAGCGATGACTGTGTCCATCTGTCCCTGGTCTGGAAGGATGAGGAAGACGGTCCCATTGCCAGTGAAGTGTAGCTGTACCAGCCGGCAGGGGAGCACTGGGTCCTGCAGGTATTGGACAGAGCCCGACCAGAACATCATGGGCACTGTCACCGTGGTTGTCTCATTCACATGGAAGTTCTTCTCTTGGGTGCTTTCTGGGTTGAAGGGCTGTTCCCATGTGCCTGGGAAAAGGAAGCAGAGAGCCAGCAGGAGTCAGGCTGCTAGGGCAGGATGCACCCTTGGGCGGCCTCATGGGAAGCAGCAGAACACCAGTGTGTCCCTGTAAACAGCCTACACAGGAGCCTGCAGCATGATGTCCCCACGGCAGCTGCCAGAGAGTTCCAGTAAGATGCTGCAGTCACCAGATACTTGAGCTCTGGTCCATCCTCTACTGCGCTGAATGGAGGGAGGATTAGCTCTAATTCTAGGCCTGCCTTCTAAACACAGCAGAGGGCAGGAAGACTACAAGAATGCTGGGCCTTGGGGTGGGGGAAGCATTCACTGAAACTGGACTTGGTCTCGGTGCCCCAGCTTAGAGTTCTGGAAGTGATGCTGGACCTGAAGCCACAAATTCAGGGGCCTGGTAGGCACCTTGGCTTTAAGATGAGCCAGTCATCCTTGCCATCCACCCCTACAGGCTAGACCTGTCACCTGGTCCCTCATGCCAGGCCACATTTCCTGAATTCTCCTACTTTGCATCTGCTGGACCATATCCCATGATGTCATTGTCTAGCTTGTTTGCATGCCTCAGGATGGGGAACTCACTACCTTGCAGTACTGGTCAGCTTTGATGGGAAGAATATTGCTCCTAAGATTGACCTCAATCCAGTACCTTCCATGGAGCCTCTTCTGTCCTTCTGAGATTACTCTCAGCAGCATGGCCTGTGGCAGAATGTTTAAAGTTTAATGTGACTGGAGCTCACCAGGATCTCTTCTGCTCTAGCTTAAAGTTCTCCATATCAGGCAAAGACTGAGGACTCCAGTATGTCCCAGGTGTCCTGGTGGTACTTGACTCCAAGCCCTGGAGTGTCATGAGGTCATTATTTCCTAGCTTCAAGGTGGCCAGAACATAGCTCCAGGCAGTTCCTTCCCCATTTCAGTGCCTGTGGATCTATGGATTAGGTGGTCACAGCTCTTGGTTTTTGGTAGAGGCAATGGGGAGAGGCTGGAGGATGCAGGGAAACAAGCTATAGCTGTAGCCTCGAGAGCCGGGACCTCCGCCGGGCCCCTCCCCAATGACTTCTCCATGCTCCATGACTGCAGACACTGTCAGTACTGCAGAAAGTAAGGTACTTTAAGGCTCCTCAAAGCATAAAGGAAGTTTGATGTATGGTAAGGCATGAAGGATAAAAGATATTTTAGGTAATCAGATAAATCGAGAGAGTGCCCATGAGACAAAAGGGGCATGGAGTTAGGGCCAGGGAGAACAATGACTCCCTTACCCTGGGCAGCAGAACCTCTGAGTCCTCTGGGTTTCATATCAAGGGGGAATACAGTTGCAGATGGCATTACAGTTGCTAATCAGCTGGCTTTGAGATGGGGGTGTGTCTTGGATGACCCAAGGGTCTCTGTGTGAATCCCTGGTCCTTATGAGTGGAAAGAAAGCGCAGGGGAGCCAGGGTCCAAGGAGATATGGTGTTGGGAATAGCTGGCTTTGATGGAAGAAGGGAATTTGAGTCAAGGATCGGAGGCCTTCTAAAAGCTAGAAAAGATTTGGAAATGTTTTCTCTCCCAAAGCCTCCAGCAGGAACCAGCCAAGCTCAAACGTTGAGTTTAGCCCTTTGTGGTTCATTTTGGACACTGAACTGCCAGAACTGTAGATAATCAAGTGGTGCTATTTTAAGCCATCAAATCAGCACTGATTCATTGTGACAGCTTTGGGAGGTGCACACAGGCTTCGCCAGAGACAGGTGCAGTCCAGGAAGCAAGGAGAATTTGGTGTGACTGGAGTGTGTGCACGCACACGTGTGGGTGTGTGTATTTGTGTGTGTGTGTGTGTGTGTGTGTGTGTGTGTATGTGTCATAGAGGAGAAAAAATATTAAAATAAGAAGCTGGAGAAGACAGAAGAGTAAAAGGACTCTGGCCTGGGGCTTCTTAACCTGGTCACGTTGGAAATTTGGGAGTGACATCTCGCACGTTGTGAGTAGGATGCTTAGCAGCCTCCCTGGCCTCTTCTTGTCAGTAGCACAGCCTACCCCAATCCCAGTTGTTAAAACCAAAATGTCCCCAGGTCTTGCTCAGATCCTTGGGGGCAGGGGTGAACTCAGCTGAGAACTATGACACTAAAGAAGGCGTTTAGTTTTATTTGCACAGACAATGTGTATCTGATACGCTTGATCATAAAAATGACCTAAGGGTAGTAGACGGGAGCCCTTGGTAAAGCTGTGCATCATAGGCCTTTCTGACTGTGCTTCTGCTTCAGCAGGGCTGGGCTGGGCTGGGCTCTGGACTCTGCGATCTAACAAATCTCCTTGGAGATTTTTATGAACAGTGCTTTGGAACACCTGGCTCCAGACTGGTGGGAGCTGGTGGTAGGGGGAGGCGGGCCTAGGCAGAGCCAGCTGTGGGTTCTGGAGTCTCATGTATGCAGCTCAGTTATAGGGGTGCTGGGGAGACTCTGAGGGGGCTCTGTTGGGTTCAAAGCAGGATGTGTGGCCCCAGCTAAGCAAGGACCCTGGGCAGCATGAGGCCCCCAATCCAGAGCCTGTCTCACATCAGTATCAAATCCACATTTGTGGGTCATGAAGCAGCCAGTCTGTCTGTGGTCACACACACAGATCTCAAAGCAACCTCTCAGAACCCAGGTGGGTCGCTTGACTGTTCTAGGTATCGTTTCGTATTTTGTAAAGTAATCTAGCCCCCTTTCCCAGCAACCCCATGGCAAAGGTGGAGATTCCCAGTAGCAACTGTGCTTTGTGAAAGAAAAGGCACTGTCCAAAGCTGGCCCCAGGTTATGACAGCTGTGGCTATTCTTGGCAGTGATGATGGGGCCCTGTCAGCATGGGTGGGGAGTGGGTACCTCCGAAGTAGATGTAGTTGATCAGGATAAGGATGGCTGGACTGTCTGGTTCTGAGAACATATCCATGAGCTTCCCCTGTGTCTTATTGCTGATGTACTCATTGATCTGTCTGCTGGCGCTGGTCCAGTTCTGAAAATCTGCAGCCAAAGCCTCTGACTCATAGTAGCATTTGATAGCTGCTAAGAAGGACTCCTGTGGATGCAGGTTGTGGTTGAGGAACAAGGCATTGCCCATGGCCATTTCCAAGCTGGTGTCTGACTCCTTGAGGAGCTGGTATAGGTGTCTAAAGTTCTGGTGGATCTCGGTGTCTGACATTCTGGTTAGGTTAAAGCCCAGGGCCTGGAGAAGCTGGGTCCGGGTGTGGCCGCTGGTACCAAGGGACAGCATGGCTAAGGCCATGGAGATGCTCACAGGGGAGATAAAGATGTTCCTGTCAGGAGCCGAGGCCACGAGACGCTGATACAAGCTGAAGGCAAAGTCAACATTGGTTGGTGCCAGGCCCCGGGAATGGCTCTCTGTCCCTGAGACAGTACTGGCATCCTCAGCCTGGTTGGCCCACAGGCTGCTCACGCACAGGCAGAGAAGACAGGTGTACAGGATAAGCGGCATTGTCAGGATGGCCAGGCCCTGCCAAGTCAAGGATGCTTGTTAGAGGGTGTGGTGGCAGCCTGAGTCAGAGGCCTCAATGGCAGAGGAGGCAGACAAAGACCCCGTTCTGTCCCTAGTTCCTTCTTCCACACTGGTGGTACAATCTGAGGAAAGGCACAGCAGGGCCCTGGGTGTCAGTGTCCTCATGTGAAGATGTGGATTCTATGCACTGTGAATGGATTAAATTCTCAGAGGACAGAGATGGGCAGAAGGGACATGATGGTTCATTCGATGGGGTTCAGGGAAGCCCAGGTAGCTGGGGTCTTAGTCTATTCAGGTTGTTATGAGAACAATACTATAGGCTGGATTATCCCTAAAGAATAGTTTTGGAGGCTGGAGTCCAATATAAAAGCACCAGGAGATCTGGTGTCTAGTAAGAGCTTCCTGGGTCTCCCTGAACCCCATTAAATGAACAATCATTTCAGGGCATGTCTGTGAGAGTATTTCCAAGGGAACCGGGATGGGTCAATGGGTAAGGAAGAGCCAACCCCACTAACATGAGCAGGTTTACCCCACCCGTGAGGGCACAGAGAGAATGAAAGGGCGGAGCAAGAGAACGTTCCCTTTGTCTGTGAGCTGAGACCTCATGCTCTGCCTTGGGACATGGCACTCATGTGTTTGGAGGCTTTGGACTCCGAGACTCATACCAGCAGCCCCATTTCGATTTTCAGGCATTGCATTAAGACTGGGGGTTACACCACTGGCTCCTCCTGTTCTCAGGGCCTCAGTGGGGGTTTTTCTTCCTTTGTAATCACATAACTCTACACTCATAAATCTCTCCCTACCCACCCTTATTTAAACCAACAGACAGGAAGCTGTGGTGTTCTCCGGTGTGGGAACCACCCACCTCCCAGGAACTCCTCAGGGGGTTCTTGTCTGGGATGTTCCAAAACCCAAACCTCAAGAGAATGGATGCTAACACCCCTAAACCACGGAGCCCTCCCCCAGCACTTCATGCCTGACTCCCCTTAACTCTGCAGAGTGGCAAAGCAAGCTCAATGACTGATCTGAGATCCCCCCACTTCAGTGCTTGATGATAGGTAGAGCTGGGGCTTGCTCCCCACCCCAGCCTGTAGCTTCTGGGTCTTGCTGGCTTCTCCCCCAGATATGAATTCTGACCTTGACTGCTAAGTCCCCAGTCCTCTCCTTTCCTGGTTTTGTGGCATGCCAGGCTGGATTCAGATCCCAGCACTGCCGTTTATTCACTAGGGAACATGGGAAGGTTGTCTCAGTTCTGCCTCAGTTTCTTCATATAAAACAGTGGAGATAACAGTCCCCAGGGCAGCTGGTTTACTAAGTGGTGCTTCTCGCCTCTCCTCCAGTCCCAGCGCACAGCCAGAGCAGGTGGCATGGCCGCATTCTCCACACTCAGCAGTTGCTGCTGTCCGGGCCCTGGTTGGGACCTTCTGTTCAGTCCCTCCCCACCCCTTGCTGCTAGCTGCTTCTTTCTAAGAAAATCTTGCATTGGCTCCCTGTCACCCAGAGGTGGGTGCCATTGATCCCCACTGAGTTGACCTGGGTCCTCATAATCCAGTCTCTGGTGACGGTCCTGCCCCCAGCTTGAACTGGGCCCTGGAGGTTCCAGCTGCAGGCACCCCTGGCACATGTAACATTTTCATCCTCTGCAGGTCAGGAGGGCCAGGTCATATCTGTCCCCTGATGTTTGCTAGCCTAGAGAGTCAGAGCCCCTGTGCCTGCCCTGCCCCCTGTGGCTCCACTGAAAACCTCCCCCTCCACACCTAGCCTGCTCAGTCCAGCATGCTTTTGAGGCTCACATGCTCTGTGCTGTAGTGAGGGAGCCCTTCCTTGTCTCACCCTGTCCCTGCTCCTCTGTCACATGTAGAAAAATCTGCTTCAGTGCAGGTCACTGCCACCCCAGTCTGTTTGTGATCCCGACCTGGGCAAGGGCCCTGGACAACACGAGGCCGGGGCAGGATGGGCCTCCCTTCCTTCCAGCTCTCCCTGAGGAGACCAAATCTCTCCCTCCTCACAAGCCTTATGTGAATGCCAGTCCCAGCTGACACACGTGCTTGCTTTAGGTGACTTCCTGTCATGTGGCATCAGGGCCCATTTTATAGATGAGAGGGGGAACCAAGGAGGCAGAGCACCCCAGGCAGTGCTAGGACTCCAAGGCCAGCAGAGGTCTGACTTCTGAGCCTGGGTCTCCACCCAGAGCCATCCACCTGCAAAACAGCTCACACAGGTACCCAGCCATAGAGAAAGGCAGGGTGTCAGTACTACTGACACTGTCCTTGCTCCAGGTCACTCAGAGCTGTGACAGATGCGTGTGTGAGACGCTGGCAGATGCCACCTCTCACACCCTACAGAACTGGCATTCTCCACTGGGACACTGCCTGTCACCGATCCATCCCAGCCCTTACACTCCCTCTCTCTGCAGCTGTACCTGCTGCTGGCCTGGGCTTAGGAGCATCAGGTACACTGGCTGGGAAGGGAGTTTAGCCTCAACCCTCTGCTGAAGCCTCTGCAAGCAGAAATCCAAGCCCAGGTTGACGCCCGGATGCTGGGATCTGGGAAGTGCTCCAGGGCAGCATGGTATCAATCCCTGCTGGCTGCCCTGGTGGTCAGTGCCCCGGGAAAATAATCCAAACAAACATGAAAGCTGCAGCCATTGCTCTGTTCTGGAGGACACAGGGGCAGGGACAGGGCAGGGGCAGGGGCAGGGACAGGCAGGCCCCAGGGTTTGCAGGGAGTCACTCACTGTCAGCAGCGGGCTCTAGTTGCTCAGCTGGCTGGGTGCAGTCTGGGATCCTAGCACATGTACAGTAAGCTGGGGGGACGCTGCTTGCTAAATCTTGCTAGGTAGCTGCCCTGCTGGTTAATGGTTAGAGGGGGTCAGTGGCCTTCATCATACAGTGGTCCCCACCCCCTAGCCACTGGCCAATGGGAGGTTTTTTCAGAAAATTTGAGTAAACATAGAAATGCTGCAAATTAACTGTTATCAGTATACAATTACATTATTATTATCAG